AGCTTGAGGCTCTGTCTCAAAAAAAAAAAAGAATGTCTTTCTTGCAAAGCATGGCTTTGGCTTCATTTTCATTCACTGTTTAATATTTTCCAATTTTGCCATTACAATCCCTTTTTGTGCCTACCATTAATTTTGAAATATTTTTAATTTTCCAGGGTTTTCGGTTTTTCTTTACCTTTCTTATGAATGTTAGAGTGAATACTACTAAAAGGGGTATGGGTATGTAGAGATAGTTAATTTAACCTTAACTCTGAATGAGATTAATCATTCGGAATTGGGTGGCGCCTGTGGCTCAAGGAGTAGGGTGCTGGCCCCATATACCAGAGGTGGTGGGTTCAAACCCGGCTCTAGCCAAAAACTGCAAAAAAAAGAGAGAAAAACAAACAATCTTTAGGAATTCAGCTTCTGAGCACAGGGTAGTTGGTGTCTTGGCCTAGGTTCAAATCTACTCTAAGACTTATTTGGCAGTGTGACCTGGGATACCTTACTAGATTTCTGTATTTTTGTTTTGTACTAGAAAATTGGTGATCATGATATTTTAGAAGGTTAAAAGCCCTTATGTTCTGCTTTTATTATAAAATACCAATTGGAATGATACATTAAGAAAAAAGCCTATGAAAATTTTAGACAAATTATAAAATTGAGTGCCATCAATTTGTTTCCATCTGTCTCCTGTAGAAATGTTTCAGGACCTCCCTTTACCACTGCACTGTTCCATATCGTATTCGCATATATGTTTCACCCTGCTGTTGATGTTCAATGCCTTTCTGACATGGTTCTGGAGTTGCTGACTCCTTTTTTCTTTTTCTTTTTTGGAGACAGAGCCTCAAGCTATTCCCCTGGGTAGAGTGCTGTGGCATCACAGCTCACAGCACCCTCCAACTCCTGGGCTCAAGCGAGTTTCCTGCCTCAGCCTCCCAAGTAGCTGGGACTACAGGCGCCCGCCACAATGCCTGGCTATTTTTTGGTTGCAGCCATCATTGTTGTTTGGTGGGCCGGGCTGGATTTGAACCCGCCACCCTAGGTGTATGTGGCTGACGCCTTAGCCACTCAAGCCACAGGTGCTGAGCCGCTGACTCCTTTTTTCCTCTGCTCCACTATGGTCCTAGAGGTGCAGAGAAATTTAGATGGCCAAAATGGAAAAGACTCTGGGAAACCTTATTTATCCTGAAATTAGTGTGACCATATGTCCTGGTTTGGCTGGGACAGTTCG